TGATTGTTCTGATTTCCTTTCCCATGTGTACTAGGTTCTGGTCTACTCTTAACAAACAGATTAGTGCCATTCCGTTTCTGAGTTTTCAGTTCTAGTTCTCTAGCCCTAAGTCCTGCTTTTATTAGGTCAAGGTTTGGTACAGTACCAAGTACTGTAAGGCATTCTTGACTACTTGTAGTCATCAGTCAGGGAATTCAATAGAATCATAGCTAGGCTAGTTTCTCCTAAGGCTTGACTGTCCCTTTTAGAACCAAAGTCATTTTCAGAAAATCATCTAAGTTTTCCTCTATACTCTTAGCACTACCATTTTATAAGAGAATAGAGCCCCCTTTAGAAAAGCTAGGTTGGGGGCAGATTGCAAAGCATACAGTAGTGAGTTTACCCCAGAGTTCAATCGGTGATTCAATTCCATCTACCTTCCGGAGGACGCTGTCAGACAGGTTCATGATTATCAGATTGTATGCCTCCTCATTGATCTCCTCTTTCTTTTCTCAACTTCTCCTCTGGCCATTTCTCGGGGTCCTCTTCCAGTGCAATGGCAACCTTGTTGTGGGACAGCAGTGCTTTCATCTTTTTCTTCCAACTCCCAAAATCGATCTTCCCATCATATTGGGAGATCTCCATACGAGTGGTACTCATTACCTATAATGAAAAAATACAGGAAAGAAAAAGAAACAACAAGGAATCTTTGAAGGTACGTGGCGTTGTTACACCAGAATTCGCCAATTGCTGCCAAGCAGTTTTTGAGGCTGTTACTGGTTTCCACCTATATACCTTTGCACAGTTATAATAAAATAAGAAAAGTAATCAACACAAAAAGAAAATCTTTGAAGGTATGTGGCTTTGTTACACCAGAATTCGCCAATTGCTGCCAGCAGTTTTTAAGGCTGTTACTGGTTTCCAGCCTATATACCTTTGCACAGATTCGAGAAATAACCCCAAATTTCAGAAGCCCTAATTTTGAACCCCTAATTTCACGAAACCCTAATTTCGCGAAACCCTAATTTCACAACACGAACCCTAATCTTCCAAAGATGGCTCTGATACCACTGTTATAACCCTTAAAGAAAGAATCAACCAACACAAGCAACAAATCAAGATCAAGAATCAAGCACACGCACAACAGATTTACCGTGGTTCACTTGCTCTAAGATTGAGCAAGCTACGTCCACGTGACTCGAGAATCACACGAGCTCGCTGCACTAAACTGTCAAGTTTACAGATTACACAATAAGCAACACAAGTCACTCTAGAAACCCTCCTTCAACCCGTAACCAAACCCTAGAGATACACCCTTCAATCCCTAAGAGCAGTGTATACATACACCCAGAAATACCTAACCAGTCACTCAACACTCAAGTTACAGGAAACACTCACCCCAACTGTAGAAACCCTAAGGTTTAACAATGGTGTTACCGAAGAAGAGAGAGTAATCGTCAAAACGAAAGCCTAATCTGCCTTGCATAAACTGCCAAAAAAAATTCTGCTTTTATATGGGAACATTAGGGTTATATGACATCCGTTGGATCTCCCTTTTCATCAACGCTCAGGATTGATTCTGGCAGTTGGAGCAAACGACGTCGTTCCACTTAGTGTCAATACGGTAACGTTTCAAGCCATCATCCAACAATTAGTACATTTTTCTATTCCTATTTGTTAATTTTGTTGGTTTTTTCTTCTTTTTATGTTTGTGGTTTTTAATTTTAAAGTAATTTTAATTTATTTTTGAAACCAAATTTGAAATTAAGGTAGAAAATATATATTAATATAGTTTTCGGCTGTTTTACCTTATATTTTTCAAATTAAAATTTAAGGTCAATAATTCTTGGCTCCTTCAGTCAACGGCGAGAACCAATTGAAAATTGAAACTCCGGCCGGTTATTTAAGCCAAGTTGAACAGAAAAATAGTTGGCACTTATTACTTCTTCTTGACTTTGTTCACCATCATCTGCAAAATTCTTAAGCTCATTTTCAGGATCCATGTCAATCTAAGTGCATAATCAAGTAAGTATTTTAACTAGTGCTACTTTTTCAATACCAGCTCTTTTTGAATAATACTTTGCTTTGATGATGTCTTGGCCTGGTGGAAGTGGAACCCTTCAATCGGCCGAAGGAACATCAGAAATTTATTTCCAAACAAGTTATGATGATCAAGTTGAAACACTTCCAAATCATGATCTGGTGGGTCTCTCTCTATCTACATTTTTTATTGAATCTTGAATTTAAGAAGAGGAATATTCACTTCTTTGATCCATAGAAATTAACTTGTGTAAATGCAAAAGTTCTCCATGTTTTGTATTAATCTTTGAAACAAAAGTCTATGTGCTGCGATTATTAATGAATCCCAAGTCAATTTTTGTGTTGGGATTTATCTTGAGATTAATGAGACTTAGAAGAAGCACAAAGGATTCAAATTCACAGAGATTGAACTTGTTTCATATAGCTCTGAAAGTGAAGTATTTCTGGTTTTCCTATATTTTTCGCATAATTTCAAGTTTCCTGTACACCAAAGCTATATATACGAGATCAATTCTTTGTGAACTTTTAAGTGCTTCGCATGCCTCTTTTGAATCTCAATAATCTGATCAGGGTGAATAGTGGTACATATTCTGACTCCAAAAATTAATAACCCACAGCACATTTTGACTCCAAAAATACGAAGCAGAGAGACAGTAGTTTATTTGCATAGCATATATTTCTTTTCTCAACTCTGCTTTTTTCATTGAGACAATTCAATAGAAGCAAACGGGTCCTGTCACTAATGAAATTACCTTTACGCGGAGCTCTATACAAGAAACTGAAGTAGAGTTGAAGAGTTTGATGAACCTAAAATTCCTTCAGTTGAAGAGTTTGATATATTAGCTTGGTGGCGCACCACTGTGCAAAATATCCAGCACTTGCACGAATGGCAGGAGATTTCTTGGCGATTCCTCTTTCTACTCCTGGTTTTACTTCAAATTCTTATTTGAGTTCTGAACTGTATAATATTTTTCATGGTGATGGCCTGGATGTTGATTTGAAAAAGGCTTTGGTATGCACAAAAAGCTGGTTGGACAACCCTCAAAATAACTAATTGAGTTATTAATATAAATAAGTTATATTTTCTTGTTTATTTTTTGTCTTTCCATAGTAGGTAACCATTAATCTCAAAAATTGCTATTCAGTGACTTCAGTCTTATCCAAGGCTAACTGCTTTTTCGCCTGCAAGAACTAAAGGTTGCTGAAGTATAGTTTTCACCCAAACATTGCTCTTCCCAGTTCCCACTGGTAGGTAGGTAGTTTAAAATGGTTTCGACCATTGAATGGAGCTAAATATAATTTATTAAACACTAAAAGATCCCCAGAACTTCACATCAAGTATTAGTAATTACACTTAATCTACTGCCGTCAGTGTTTTTCTGTTAGTTTGAATCAAATGAAGGTAAATGACCTTAATATCCTCATCTATGATGACCATAATCCAACGCGCCCTCTACTTTTACTTTATCTCCATAGCCCCCAACACCTCTGTTTTAAAAACCGGATCCAACCGACCGGTCCAACCGGTTGGACCGATTGAACCGTGACCCGGACAGCAAAATGGTTTGCCCTCCGGTCCGAGTTTTAAAACAATGCCCAACACCCGTAAACTCCAACCCGCCCACCTACTCACCGATCCGCTTTGACTTTGTAGTTTATCTCCAACAGCGCCCATCAACCCCAACTCAACCCTTTTCTCCTCACATATTACATTAAAAAAAAAAAAAGTTAAATTGTAAAAGTATTACAATTTTTTTGGTGAAAAATTAAAAAGAAGAAACTATTAAATAAAAATAAAAATAAATCTATAAAAAAAGATCTGGAAAAATGAAAAAAAACTGGAATAATAAAAAAAAAATCAGAAATATACGAAAAAGTAAAAATAAAATAATTGAAAACTTTAAAAAACTTTCTAAAAGTTAAAAAAAACCCCTAACACCCTCCCTTGTAAGCCAATTTTCTAAGAAGAGTTTTACTCAAGCTCGTGAAAAAACTCATTGCCTAGCCCAATTGGTCAGTTGTTGGAGTGGGATCCTGACATCAATTGGTATCAAAGCATGATCCTATGTCTACGTGGCAATACACACGTGCTAGGTTGACCTTGGACCAGGGCTATTACCCCAAGAAAGGGCATGGAGACCCAAGGGAAAGGGGATCCGCATAGGTACGCAAAGGGTAAAGAGGTCAACGTGGATATCGGTTGTGGAAGAGTGGTAGAATGTTAGGATCCCATATTGGAAGGGAAAGGGGTAGGCATATGAGTTATAAAGGGCTTGGGCATCTTCCCTTGACAAGCTGGTTTTCTAAGGAGAGTTCTACCCAAACTCATGAAAGACCTATTACCTTGCCCAATTATTGAATTGTTGGAATGGGTTCTTATCAGCTTCACACAACCAAGCACGTCTCATACTTAATTGTTCTTCTACCCTCAAATCTTCTTGTTGGAGTCTTCTCTTTTTACTCAGATCCCTTAAGAATATAAGCTATGATACCACATTAAAAATCAAAATCTGCTCTGATACCATGTTAAAAATCGAAGGAGTAAAAACTAAAATAAAGAACAACAACAATCCACACAAAGACACATCATATTTACATGATTCGGCATAACTAGCCTACATCCACAGATGAGAAGGATCTCCTATAATTTTAAGAACACGATACCCCTGATACCCTTAGATCAAAACCCTTATGTCCTCACATTCTCTATTTCTCTTATTTTCTCTCTCATAACCTTGAATTGATTGTAATCCCTCCATTTATAGGTAGAATAGGATTTATTTTTTAACTAGGATTCATATTTCAAATCCTAATAGGACTCCTTAAATTTAATTCATTATTCTATTTTAACTCTAAATAAAATCTTAAACCAATTCTTCTTTCTTAATACAACTCAAAATAAAGGAAAACATATAATCTCAATTACAAATTCTTAAAATAGAAATTTGTTTAAAACTTAAATTCATTTTTTTTCTTGCTTGTCTTTTCTTCTGGAGCAAGATATCTTTATCAATTACCCAAAAGCGTCGCAATCCAACAAGTATCAATCCTCTCAGCTCACATAAGCAGAAAGTAAGGTTCCCCAAAGAAACATCATGCAGTAATCAACAGTGAAAACTAAACAGCAATAATCTCACCATTTCAAACCCGTAACTTCCATCTATGAGAAGCAGTGCCAAGTCAGCAACCTTTGCACAATCAATCATACCGTCATTAGCCACCTTTGCTTACCGAACATATTTCATCAATTCCGCATCAGAGTTAAAGAAAATAAAGAAAACATAAACTCCAATAACTTTTTTAATTTAATAATTCATTAGGTCAGAGCAAACATAAACCTGATACAATAGTAATCGGTCCTCAGACCTCAGGAACATTATGCTTTGTATAATGCTTTATAAGCGACTTGATAACCGAAGACTTTCCAACCTGCCACCACCCAAATAAACAATCAACATTCAAAGTTCGAAAAAAAAAAAAAAAAAAAAAAATTTGAAACATTTCAATTAATCCTACAAAAGAATCAGTATGTAAACAATCCTGGTGCGATCCTGGACTACCACAACATATGGCGGTGGTTCACCATAAGAACGGTCTATAGTTGGAATGTGAAGCCTCCATTGCTCTTTCTCAACAGCCTGCGACTGCAATCTCTTCGCTTGCACAGATGGAGTAAAAGCAAACACCTACAACAAAAAATAGCAAGACAAAACAATCAAAACAGCTAGAAAACAATAACATCAATAACACCAACCATCAATAATAACCAAAAACAACTTAAAACCTTAGGGTTTTGCTTATTCTCTTGCTTATTTTTATCAGACTTCCCCTTCTTCTTCCTTGCCGATGAACCGACTTGGCGGTTCCCCGTGCTTCTTGTGTGGCTGCTCCGTGGCTCTAATGGCCAGTCACTTCTTAATTTTTTCCAACTTCAAAATTTGATTTAATTTTAAACTTCAAATTTAATAAATGATTTTTGAGGATTGTGGCTTTACTATTGTCTGACACTCTAGAACCCTCCTTCAACCCGTAACCAAACCCAGAGATACACCCTTCGAATCCCTAAGAGCTTGTATACTACACCCAAAATGACCTAACCAGTCACTCAACACTCAAGTTACAGGAAACACTCAACCCAACTGTAGAAACCCTAAAGGTTTAACAATGGTGTTTTACCGAAGAAAGAGTAATCGTCAAACGAAAGCCTAATCTGCCTTGCATAAACTGCCAAAAAAAATTCTGCTTTTTATGGGAACATTAGGGTTATATGACATCCGTTGGATCTCCCTTTTTCATCAACGCTCAGGATTGATTCTGGCAGTTGGAGCAAAACGACGTCGTTCCACTTAAGTGTCAATACGGTAACGTTTCAAGCCACTCATCCAACAATCTCCACCTTGATGGTTGAACAATAGCCCCTGTTGCTTAGTGCAGCTTGCTGTCAGTGAGTCCTTCATCGTTCTCTTGTTGCTGTTGCTTACTGAATAACAGTAAGTTCAAGCAATGCTTGAACTTGCAATAGTAACAATCTTCGTACCCATGTCTGCTGGATTATGCTCTGTGGGAACTTTATTTAGTATTATCTCCCCTCTAGTGATCAGATCTCTGACAAAGTGATAGCGAACATCAATGTGTTTGGTTCGCTCATGGTATCCTGGGTTCTTGCTCAGGTGTATTGCACTTTGACTGTCTGAAAATATGGTTGGTTTCAGTTCAGTCAGCTTTGCCTCACTTAGTATCCCTCTGAGCCATATTGCCTCTTTGAATACATCAGCTACAGCCACATATTCAGCCTCGGTTGTGGCAGTGCAACTATAGGCTGTAATGAGACTTCCACTAATGCAGTTGCCTCCCAGGTGAAGTAATACGCAGTGGTTGACTTCCAGTGTCCCTGTCACCTGCAAAATCAGAGTCTACAAAACCATCCACTCAGTGGAGGCAGACCTTTTATAATATTCCAATCCCACATTCAATGACCCACTAACTATTTGAGTACCCACTTCAGGGCTGTCCAATGTTCCAACCAGGATTGGACATAATCTACTCAGCAAGGATATCACAAATGATAGGTCAGGCCTAGTACTGATCATAACATACATCAAGGATCCAATCACATTGGCATAGGGAATGGTCTCCATTCTGATTGACTCAGCATCAGTATTAGGGCATTGGGACTTGCTTAAGGTGAGTGGTTTACTAAAGGCAGGGAGACTGTTTTGGACCCTGACATTTCAAACTTTTCTACTAACTTATGCAATATGAGCACTGGTGAATTTTCAGTTTACACTTACTTCTGTTTCTCTCAATTTGCATTCCTAGAATCTTTCTAGCTCCCCTAGGTCTTTCATTTCAAATTCAGTATTCATTTCTTCTTTAACTCACAATCAGAGGTTTTGACTTACTTATCAGTAGCATGTCATCTACATACACAGTAAGTAAATAGCATTTCATCTAGGACAGCATAGTAAGCAGCTGTCATATCTACTCCTGGTGAATCCTATACTTCTATAAAGTGTCAAACCTCTTATACCATTGTCTAGGGGATTGCTTTAGACCATACAGGATTTCAACAGTAGCAGACATGGTTAGGGCCTTGTTATCTATGAACCTAAGGTTGGCACATGTAGATCTCTTCCTCAAGATCTCCATGGAGAAAAGCATTAGTGACATCTGTTGTTCAAGCTCTAGGTCCTGATGACTACTAGGACGCATAAGCCTTATGGTCTTGTACTTAACTACTGGGAGAAGACTTCATTGAAGTCAATTCCCTCTCTTTGGGTGAACCCTTTGCTCCAAGTCTAGCCTTATACCTGAGGGGATCTTTATCATTGATACCTTCCTTTAATTTGAAGAGCCACTTGCATTGTACAAGTTCGATCCTTGGGCTTTGGTACAAGCTTCCAGGTCCTGTTCACCTCCAAGATTTCATTTCAGCTTCCATAGCAGCCTTCCATTGGTTACTTTCTTTTGACTGCATGGCTTCCTCATAGGTTTCTGGTTCTCTTCTTTGTACTTCATACCTCAGAAGAGCAGTGTATATTAGGTCAGCATAGGAATATCTCATGGTGCCCTTACCTGTCTTCTGTGTCTTGTCTCTTGCAAGTTGGTAGTCTTGTAAGTGCTCAGGTTGGGTCTCAGTATCATCTACTGTTTCTATCTCATCCTCATGTTCTGGATAAGGTTGTCCAGTTTCTTCTCCATGATCAGTAGCAGTTCCAGTTTCTTGACTGGTTTGAGTTTGGACAGTAGCTCCACCTCAATTGGAGTAACTTCAGGTTGGGTGAAGGGATCATCTTTCTTGTCATGTGGTCAGTCCCTGTTTCTGTTTTCCTTACAAGGGAAAACTCCCTCATGGAATATGACATCTCTGCTCACAATGATTTTGACCCCTGGAGTATCTCTTTCCCAGAGTCTATAGCCTTTGGTCCCTTCTTGATACCCCAGGAATATACACTTAGTAGACCTTGGTTCTAGTTTGCCTCCTGTGGTGTGGTGCATAGCTGCACACCCAAAACTCTCAGGTGGTTTAAGTTGGACTCTTCCTGTCCACATTTCCTCAGGACTCTTTAAGTTGATAGCAGTGGATGGCTTCTATTTATCAGATGGGCAGCTGTTGAAAGAGCTTCTCCCCAGAATGAGGTGGGAGATTGGAGTTATTAACAGGCACCTAACCTTATCCAGGAGTTTTCTATTCATTCGTTCTGCCACTCCATTCTGTTGAGGGGTGTATGTCACTGTTCTATGTCTTAAGACCCCTTGGTCACTACAAAACTTGTCAAAGTCTTGATTGCAAAATTCTAGCCCATTGTCTGTTCTGAGGACCTTCACCCTTCTCCCATTGGTTTTCTACTAGGGTTTTCCAATCCTAAACCTGCTAGAGCCTGATCTTTTGTTTTCAACAAGTATACCCAGACCTTACGGCTATAGTCATCCACCAAGACATGAAGTAGTTATTTCCTCCAATGACTTTACTTTCCCAGGTCCCCACAGATCAGAGTGGATGTATTCTAGTGGACTGGTTGCTAGGTGTGTCCCTCTGGTGAAGCTATTTCTATGCTGTTTCCCTAAACACAATTCTCACAGAATTCAAGGGAAGTAGTCTGTCTTTCCAAACTGCCCTTTATTCTTCAGAATGTCCATGCCCTTTGACTCATGTGGCCAACCTAAGTGCCACCTTTCTGTATTGGACAAGTTAGTGGTAGGAACCACAGAGTTCAAACAGTTTTGGGGACAATTTCCACAAGGATATAGAGGCCATTTCTTTTCTCTCCTGTCAATAAGGTTGTTACCCCATTATGTTCAAGCACCATGTTCTGCTTTGTAACAACATCCTAATTCATCTAAGGTGCCTAAGGAAATTAGTTTCTTTTAAGTTCAGGTATGTATCTGACCCTAGTTAATCTTACCACACTTTTCCTGTGTTAACCCTTAGAGTCACAGTACCTGTCCCTTTTACTCTGCAAGCATTATTGTTCCCCATATACACAGTTTCATTTTCAACCTTTCAAAGTCCTGGAACCATGTCTCTCCTGGGGCTCATGTGAAAGGAACAGCCTGAGTCCAACCCACTCTTCACCAGTGTCTTCATCGACACAGTAAGGACTTCAGGCTCCTCTACTAGGTTTCTAGTATAGCTAGATTATCTCAGTATTCCCTTGCTTTTGCTTTTGATCCACTCAAAACAGTTCCTTTTAATATGCCCTGTTTTATTACAAAAGAAGCATTTCCTGGATTCACCTCTATTCTTGTTATTGCCCTTCCATTTTTTCTTATTTCTAGCCCCCTGATTGTTCTGATTTCCTTTCCCAGTGTGACTAGGTTCTGTTCTACTCTTAACAAACAGATTAGTGCCATTCCGTTTCTGAGTTTTCAGTTCTATTTCTCTAGCCCTAAGTCCTGCTGTTATATGTCAAGGTTTGGTACAGTACCAGAGTACTGTAAGGCATTCTTGACTACTTGTAGTCATCATTCAGGGAATTCAAAGAATCATAGCTAGGCTAGTTTCTCCTAAGGCTTGATCTGTCCCTTTTAAACCAAAGCATTTTAGAAATCATCTAAGTTTTCCTCTATACTCTTAGCACTATCCATTTTATAAGAGATAGACCCCCTTTAGAAAAGCTAGGTTGGGGCAGATTGCAAAGCATACAAGGTAGTGAGTTTACCCCAAGTTCATCGGTGACATTCCATCTACCTTCCGGAGGACGCTGTCAGACAGGTTCATGATTATCGATTTGTATGCCTCCTCATGATCTCCTCTTTCTTTTTCAACTTCTCCTCTGGCCATTTCTCGGGGTCCTCTTCCAGTGCAATGGCAAACCTTGTTGTGGGACACAGTGCTTTCATCTTTTTCTTCCAACTCCCAAATCGATCTTCCCATCATATTGGGAGATCCATACGTTGGTACCATTACACTATAATGAAAAATCAGGAAAGAAAAAGAAACAACAAGGAATCTTTGAAGGTACGTGGCGTTGTTACACCAGAATTCGCCAATTGCTCGCAAGCAGTTTTTGAGGCTGTTACTGGTTTCCAGCCATATACCTTTGCACAGTTATAATAAGAAATAAAGAAAGTAAATCAACAACAAAAGAAAATCTTTGAAGGTATGTGGCTTTGTTACACCAGAATTCGCCAATTCTGCCAAGCAGTTTTTAAGGCTGTTACTGGTTTTCCAGCCTATATACCTTTGCACAGATTCGAGAAATAACCCCAAATTTCAGAAGCCCTAATTTTGAACCCTAATTTCACGAAACCCTAATTTCGCAAACCCTATTTCACAACACGAACCCCTAATCTTCCAAAGATGGCTCTGATACCACTGTTATAACCCTTTAAAAAGAATCAACCAACACAAGCAACAAATCAAGATCAAGAATCAAGCACCAGCACAAACAGATTTACCGTGGTTCACTTGCTCTAAGTTGAGCAAGCTACGTCCACGTTAACTCGAGAATCACACGAGCTCGCTGCACTAAACTGTCATTTACAGA